CCACTCCAGGTTGGTCTGCTTGTCCTTTCAAGTGGGAATTTCCCATCACTTGATTTCTTGACTGCTATTTCCATGAGTGTTGATGGTGAATCTGAGCAAAATGAAGTCTTTGACAACTTCAGTCTTTTCTCCATTTATCTTAATGTTATTCATTGGTCCAGTGGTAAGGATTTTTGTTTTCTTTACATTGAGGTGCAACCTATACTGAAGGCTGTAGTCTTTGATCTCCCTCAGTAAGTACTTTAAGGCCTCTTCATTTTCAGCAAGCAAGCTTGTATCATCTGCATAATTGCAGGTTGTTAATGAGTCTTCCTCCAATCCTGATGCCATGTTCTTCTTCAGATAATCCTACTTCTTGAATTACCTGCTTATCATACAGATTGAATAAGTATGGTGAAAGGATACAACCCTGGTTCACACTTTCTCTGATTTTAAATCATTCAGTGTCCCTTTATTCTGTTCAAACAACTTCCTCTTGGTCTATGTACAGTTTCCTCATGAGCACAATTAAGTGTTTCAGAATACTCACTCTGCTTGTCATGAGCTACACAATTGAAAGTTTTTGCATAGTCAGTAAAGCACAGGTAAACATCTTTCTGGTATTCTCTGGTTTCATCCAAGATCCTTCCGATGTCAGCAATGATATCCCTGGTTGCACATCCCCGTCTGAATCTGGCCGGAACCACTGGCAGCTCCCTGTCAATGTACTGCTGCAGCCATTTAAAAAAATTATCTTAAGGAAAATTTTAATTTCATGTGATATTAATGATATTTTCCGATGATTCCCACATTCCATTGGGTCACCTCTCTTTGGAATGAGCACCAATATGGATCTCTTCCAATCAATTGGCCATGTAGCTGTCTTCCAAATTTCTTTGCATAGATGAGTGAATACCACCAGTGTTGCCTCAATTTGTTGCAAGATTTCAGTTTGTATTCCATCATTTCCCAACACCTTCACTAACATCCCTTTAAGATGATGACCACTGACTCCCAGTCATGATACTAAGAAGAGCATACCCAGATTTATTACTTCACCTCTAATAACTGTCCCCCTTTTGCTTCTCAGATGATAAGCTTGGCTCCATTTTTACTGATATTGTGGAATCGATCTGAGGATACCTTCCACAATTTCCTAGCAGTGTGGCCACCCATACATCTGTATCTAAAGATTCAAATCTCTCCTTATCCCATGTTTTGAAGGTATCCACAGAAGCAGGTGAACTGTCTGTCCATTTGCTTTATATCCTGAAATCAGAACACTCTCTCTTACCTTTTCTCATCAGTTTCCCTTTGCTGTGATCTATAAAGTCATTTGGCGCTAAGGATAAATTACTCATTCTATTTTTTTTCATGGCTTCGAAGGATATGTTCTTCAGGACTGAGTTGAGTTCTTCTGGGCTTAGCTTCTTGTCCAAGAACTGGCAGATCCTCTCTACATTTGCCCTTGTGTCCTAGAATAAGAAACATAGGGAGAAGACACAACATAAAATACATCTGGGGCAAGAGAATAAGGACAGGAAACTGATGAGATGAAGAAGAAAATGAAATGAAGCCAAAAGAGGATGGGCTGTGTAGGTTCCAATGAAGTGATTCACACTGGATAGGGATATCTTGGACAAGAGGAAAAACAAAGGTCATTTACAAGTTCTGGGAAAGAAATGAGATGACAATATAATACTTATTGAACTTTGGTGTGCCTAAATTCGTGGCACCCTAGATATAAGAGGGAATAGTCTTGAATTTTCAAGGACAATTTCCAGATGGACTTTAAACATACAAGGTAAGAAGTAAGAAATGTACTCCATGCAGATGGAACTCTAGCATGCATGTGTTTAGGCCATGGTTATTGTATGGAATAACACAGTTTTTAAAAGCTTGGATTTGAACAGCACATGATTTTTATCCAGTATGCTTACATATTATCAGAAACTTTAGCACATGTACCATCTAGGAACAAGAGAAAGGAGGGCTTCTACACAAGAAAGATATTTAATGTTAAGTGGATTTTACATCCTGTATGTGGTACTCCGAGTTCCTTTATGTGGGCTTTTACCTTACTTCATTGAAAACACAGTCTGGGAGATTTTCTACCTAAACCTGAGGCATTACCTTTGCACTAGTTCTTGAAGAAGTAAATTGGGCTAGGGATTACTCCCAGGTTGTTAAAATTGACCCCAGAGGATTTCTTATGCACAAGGAATTTTCCAGTTTGGTCAACATTTTGTGAGTAAGTGGTAAACAACATCAGGGTTTGATCCCTTTGTCCAATTATTAATAAGACTTGAGTAAATGAATGTCTCATGGTTGATTGAAAATTGGTTGAACTTAGGCCTGGGGAAGGCAGCCTCCCTTGTAATGGATGGGGATTGGAATATATGAAGAGCTGAAAGACAACTTTGGAGAGCCTTCCTGGTTGCAGGAGAAATGCTGGCTAAGAGTGAACGGGCAGAGAAGCAGAGCCACATGGGACTGAGCGGACCTGAAGCTGCAATGGCATGACCAATGGTAAAACATCCCACAGTGGGGACGCCCGACAACAGAAAGGCCAGCGGGCAGGGAGCAACTGAGAGTGCTGAGTGGCTCCTACCCTGGCTGTGAATTGGTTCCATTAGCAGTGAAGGGGATGACAGTGGAGAACCACCAACAGTCTAGCCTGGCAGCTCTGTCTGACTGTACAGAATTGTTGCTAGGAGACAAGCAGTTGTGAGATCTCAATGAGGAGCTACGACATTATAAGATGGGTCAGCAGTCACAGAGAAGCGAACAGCCTTTGTAGCTAATTATCACACCCTGTGTAGACGGAGCGAGGGGCATGGGGGCTAGGGGCTGGGACAGTTGTGCCAGAAATTAGAAGATTGTGATATGGGCTGAGAGAGAGTAAATATTTTGGAAGAATGGTTACCTGTTGCAGCTCTTCATATGAAATGATCAGGAAATTCTCTTTTCCTTTCATCGACAGCCAGCCTTGAATATGGTCAAACCATGATCCAAACATTACTGCAAGTGAAGTGGGGGAATGAAGGTGATTTAAAAAAAAAAATTGGGGGCTGGGTTCACATTCATATGATCGTGTAATTTTATAAGTGTCTAAATATCTGTTTATTGTACTATGATGACTTGTATGCCGCTGTGATGCTGGAAGCCTGTATCACCAGCATTTTAATACCAGTGGGGTCACCCATGGTGGACAGCTTTCTGCAGAATTTCTAGACTAAGACAGACTAGTAAAAAGAGGTGGACCACTTCTGAACAGATAACCACCGAAAACCTTATGAATAGCCAGCAGCGCATTGTCAGAAAGACAGCTTATCTGGTCAAACAATTGGAAGAGAGTCATATTTGTGCCCATTCCAAAGAGAGATGACCCAACAATTACAAAAATCATTGCACAATATCATTTATATAACATGCAAGTAAAAGTTTGCTGAAGATAATGTAAAAATGGTTACAACAGTACATCAACAGGGAACAGCCAGATATTCAAGTCAGATTCAGAAGAGGACCCGGAACTAGGGTCGCTATGGGTGGGAACTGACTCAATGGCACTTACCACCAATAACATAGGGTTTCTGAGGCAGAAGACCTCATCTTTCTCCCGGGTACTATATAAGTTGAAATATCTGAGGACACTTTCCCATTTTCATGGTAGGGGAATGAGATTTAAAATTTGAATGAAACGAGTTAAATAAGCAGCTAAACTTATTTTATGTCAATGACTTGATTTCTACAGTGAATACCATTTCTTTCTCCTACACCAGAAAAATGCTGCAACTGGCTGAGGACTACACCTCTGAGTGTATTCTTTTTGGCTTTCACCCACACGACTCTTCTGCCACACCTCCATAACGCCTATCATGAGAAATTTCCTACGATGTTCAGTCTATTCAGGAAACTCTGGTCTGATGAGTGATATGCTAAAAGATCCTAGCACCTGGATACCATTGACGCATCCATACAGGGACAACTGTCCCGTGCCGACCAAGCCATTTTCACTGAAAATGTTGTTCTTAATATCAAGAGGAAAACTGCTGATTTTTAATATAGTTTGACAATGAATATAACTCCCATGTTCCAGAAATCTCTGCTGCTTTTCATAAAATAATCGAAACTTACGCTGACCCAAGTCCTGGGGTGGTGTTGTGAGTTAATGTGCTGGGCTGCAAAGTTGGCTTGAATCACAAGGTCAGTGGTTCAAGCTCACCAGCCACTCCTCAGAAACCCTATACGGGATCTCTATAGGTCTGAACCAACTCAATGGTTCTCAACAACAACAGCAATAACATGCTGATAGGCAGAAGTTTCCAGAAGAGAAATGCAGAGCCTTAGGAAATTTTCTTTGACTTCATGGTTCCACATATTTCCATAAGAAATTGAAAGGCATTCCTAAATTCTATTCATTAAGAACATACGGGATTTTCTTAATTTCCCTGATTTTGAGGGTTTTTTTTTTTAAATTATTTTTAGTGCTATGTTTAAATAAAAACAAACGGAATGAGGTCGAATCCATTCAGACTCATGGCAGTCCTGTCTAACAATGACAGAATACAAATGCTCCATAGAGTTTCCAAAGCGATAAACCTTTATGGGAGCAGACAGCTTGATCTTCCCCCATGGAACAGCTAGTGGGAGAACCGCCTATCTTGAGGTTAGCAGTCAAGTGCTTAACCCACTGCATTGCAGGGCTCCTTTTTAAACTAAAAGTATGGTCTAATTAAACAAGAGTTTAGTTGTTAAGAGAATGGCCTGAGGCTCAAAGGGTGAAATAAGGTGCTAACAAAATGGACAAGCTGGACTTAGACAGACCTTGGAATCGTCATTCCAAACACCAAAATGAAAATACCTTCTACCTTGAGATGTTGTTGTTGCCAACTGCCATCAAATTGTTTCTGGCTTCAAAGAGTGTCTGGTGAGTTTGAATCACCGACCTGGAGGTTCAAACCAACCTTGCAATTGAGTGCTTATCCTACAGTGCCACACCTAAGTACTGACCAGTTCTAGGGTGTTCAGTGTCTTCTCAGTTAACAGATCCTCAAGCCCATCTGATCAATAAAAAAATTGAGGCTCATACAAATGATGTCATTTTTCCTCTAACAAACAGTGGACATTAGTTAAGTGCCATCAAGTCAATTCTGATCCACAGCGACCCTATGTACAACAGAACGAAACCCCACCTGGTCCTGCACCATCTTTAGACTTCCTACTCCGCTTGAGCCCACTGCTGCTGCCATTGTGCCAGTCCATCTCATTGGGGGTCTTCCTCTTTTTTGCTGACCCTTCACTTTACCAAGTGTGATGTCCTTCTCCAAGGACTGGTCCCTCCTGATAAGATGTCCAAAATATGAGAGACAAAATCTCACAATATTGGCTTCTAAAGAGCACTCTGGTTGTACTTTTTCCAAGACAGATTTGTTTGTTCTTTTAGCAGTCCATGGTATCTTTAATATTCTTTGCCAACCCCATAACTGAAATGCATCAACTCTTCTATGGCCTTCCTTATTCACTGCCCAACTTTCATATGCCATATAACACTAATGAAAATACTATGCCTTGCATCAGGTGCACTTTAGTCCCCAAACGGACATCTTTGCACTTGAACACTTTAAAGAGTTAAAGATAATTATGTTGTCTAAAAATTATGCTGAGAAAATGTCCAAGAGACAAGAGCATGCATACTGAGATCTTGTTATATAGGTGGTAATATTAATTTAGCAAATCTGGATTCTATGAAGAAAAAGGTGGCATCAGGATTGGAGGAAGACTTATTAACAACCTGTGATATGCAGATGATACAACCTTGCTTGCTGATTAAAATATTTACTGATAAGATCAAAGAGCATAGTCTTCAGTATGGATTGCATCTCAATGTAAATAAAACAAAAATCCTCACCACTGGACCAATAAACAACATTCTTCTCAATGGAGATAAGATTGAAGTTGTCAAGGACTTTATTCTTTTTGGATCAACCATCAACACACATGGAAGCAACAGTCAAGAAATCAAATGATGTATTGCATTAAACAAATCGGCTGCACAGGAACTTTTTAGTTGAAGAGCAAAGATATCAGCTTGAGAATTAAGGTGCACCTGACCCAAGCCATGGTATTTTCAATAACCTCATATGCATGCGAAAGGTGGACAGTAAAGTTGGAAGACCATCGAAGAATTGATGCATTTGAGTTATGGTGTTGGAGGAGAATATTGAAAGTGCCATGGGCTGCCAAAAGAACCAACAGATCTGTGTTGGAGAAAGTGCAGCCAGAGTGCTCCTTGGAGGCCAGGGTAGACAAACTTCGTCTCTCATACTTCAGACATATTGTCAGGAGAGACAAGTCTCTGGAGAAGGATATCATGTTTTGTAAGGTGAAGGGTCAGAGAAAAAGAGGAAGAGCCCCAGCGAGATATATTGGCAAAGCAGCAGCATCAGTGGGCTCAAACGTGATAACAATTATGAGGTTGGCCCAGGACCGGGCAGTGTTTCATTCTGTTGTGCATAGGTCACTATGAGTCGGCACCTACTCGATGGCACCTAACAACAACCACAACAAGAAGGAGTCCTAGTGTGGCTCTGAGAGTTAATGTGCTAGACTGCAAAGTCATTTGAACCTCAAGGTCGGTGGTTCAAGCTTACCTGCCACTCCTTGGAAACCCTATACAGGGTCGCTATGGGTCAGAACTGACTCAATGGCACTTAACAGCAACAACAAATGTTTGGAGAACCATGAGGCTTTTTAAATAACAAAATCACCAAACATGAAGATGTTCCAATGATTCCCCCCCCCCCCAAGGAAGACCCTCAACAAGATGGATTGACAAAGTGGCTGCAAGCAGTGGACTCAGACAGGGTGATCGTGAGGTGACCCAGGACCGGGCAGTGGTTCCTTCTGTAGTGCATAGGATCGCTATGAGTCAGAACCAACATGACAGCACCTAACAACATGAACAACTAAGTTTTGAAGGCCATGTAACTGTTTAAATAACAACATCATCAAAAATGAAGATATTCAGGTTATCAGGTGAAGTACATGACCTCTACCATCCCACCAAAATCCCCTACCTTGAGTCAAAACTCACCATTTCCTTGGATGAACCATTCAAAGTATTGCTCAAATGACTCTGGATCTTTTGCAAATGTCAGTGCTTTGTTGAAATAAAAACTCGAAATAAGAATATCTCTGGGATTTCTCATTACATAAATAGCCTGAAGTAAGACAAAAACGACAACAAAATCAACACATTCAATCCCCTGTTCTTTGGCCAGTGGAGGCTAAGTCAGTCTTCATCAGAGCACTTGACAGTCATTAGGTCTTGCCCCATTCATCCATCTGGCAAGCTTTATCTCAAGCAACCGCCCTGTGGAGATGATTGTGCAACAAGATGAACACAACTAAATGCCATTGAAATGTATATGCAAAAAATGTTCAAATGGAAAATGTTTTGTGGTATATATGTCTTGACCACAATGAAAACCAATAATCTATGAGAAATTCACAGTTGTGTCCTCAGGGAATTTAAGTACTTCCTGTATCATCGTACCTGAAATTACACATCAGAGACCAACGTCAAAGTCAACTGCTAAATACACTACCCCAAGATGATGTTGTGATTCGAGAAGCACAACCGGGCTCCCAACGTGAGCACAAAAGCCACAGAGTCTCTAAGTTGCATGAGTTAACTTATAATTAAATTACTTAAACCATGGCGCATTCAATATAAGACACTTTTTCAGAGGTGAAGAGATACAATAAACAAATGAAGATGAAGTATCTATGGAGAAACACCAAAGGAGTAATCTATAATACAGTAGTGTGATTTGGAACAAGATTTTCTTCGATGTTCTCTTTGATGAATCACATTTTAACTTGGATCCCAAAGCCAGGCATTCAAGACAGAGAAGTGGTCAATTGTATTGTTGTCATTATTAGCTCACCTTTGCCTTGGAATTGAAGAATGATCTGGGAAAGAATTGAATTGGGAGGTGTGATGAGTACATGCGTGGATCTTTCTGGATCTTGACATTTTCATACCCTTCCTTTGTTTCTAGCCATGGTGAGCGATCCCAGATAGCCACGGACTGGACCCAGCTGGGATCTCCCTTGGAGTGGATGAGACTGAGGATTTCCTTTATCCAGTGTGATCCTGAATATAGAAGTAAAATTGATTTTATCTACTGAAGGCTGAATGGCAATCATGCCACTGTATTTATGAACTTGTTTCTGTTTGACTTTTGTGAAACCACACTCTTACTACTCTTGTTCCTAATGCTTACTATGTCTGCAACATCTCCACCCATAGTCAACAGTTCCCCCTTTCACCATTCATCTTATCTCATACATCCAACTTACTTCTACTGGGTCCCGGTTGACAATTTAAAGGGAGAATAACTAAACAGGAAGCTTCCATGTTGTCGTTGTTGTGAAGTGCCGTCGAGTCAGTTCCAACCTATAGCGACCCTGCAAAGGGTTTCCGAGGAGCAGCTGGTGAGCTTGAACTGCCGACTTTGCAGTTCAAACGGCTTTGCAGTCTGGAGCATTAACCCACAGTGCCACCCCAGGACTCTGAAAGCTTCCATAGACATTCACAATTCAGTCAGAAGATGAGTTCTGTCATCCTTCATGCCAATGTCTCCCCCAAGGGCAGAGTGAATACACATTTACCTAAGAAGAAGTGAGTTCACTGTCAGAGAATCAGAGAGGATTTCTGACATTAAAAGAAAGAAAGAAAAGCCAAGTGCTAATTTGAAACTCGGTTGATTATGTGACTTGATTTCTGAAAGATAAATAGCATATTGAGAGGCTCCAAGGGAGAACACTTATCTTGTTCTGGTGAAAGGAATTCCTCCTGTGGAAAATGCAATTCCACGTGAAGCCATCTACTCCCTGCCTTTGAATTCAGTAGGTGGATTTAATGCTGCAGCCCTGTGGTAACCTGAGTAACCCACACAATCTGAGACTAAATCGCTGACCCTGTGGGCTAACAACACCGACCTCCTTTCTCTAGCCATTCATTATAAGAGCAATGAAAAAAAGGAAAGAATATTTTGATTAAGAAATGTTACTCAATACCCCAAAACATGCATTTCCCTACACCACCCTTGTTCCTTTGGTTTACTTACACTACACAGCTGACCTACATAGTTCTGGTGTGGCAGTGTAGGATAAGCACTGGACTACTAACCATAAGGTCAGCACTTCAAACCCATCAGCTGCTCAGAAACCGACTACATGGCTGCTGTAAGTCAGAACCAGCTCGACAGCACTTAATCACAATGCCAACAACAGCTTACGGAAAATGTTCTTCTGGAAACAGACAGAAGATGTGATGGATCAAATGTTGTTATTGTTGTTGTTGTTAAGTACCGTGGAGTTGGTTTCGACTCATAGTGACCCTGCACAGGGTTTCCGAGGCTGCAAATCTTTACAGGAGCTGAAAGTCTCATCTTT